TGGACGAAGACAGATCTTTGTTGGAGACATTGGTTTCGTTATTACCTAGTGAGAAACAGAGTGTTTCTTGTGGATTCTTGATCAAGCTGTTGAAATCATCGGTTACTCTGGATTGCGAAGAGGAAAAGAAGAAAGAGTTAAGTAGAAGAATCGGAGAGAAGCTAGAGGAAGCAAATGTAGCTGATCTCTTGATCAGATCACAAGAAGGAGGATGTGAAACAGTTTATGACATTGACATTGTTGAAACGTTACTCGATGAGTTTATTACACAAACACAGAAAAGAGACGAGCTTGATGATTGTTCAGACAGCTCGAAAGCAAATGTTGCCAAGCTAATCGATGGGTACTTAGCTGAAATCTCGAGAATCGAACCCAATTTGTCTCCTTTGAAGTTCGTTACAATTGCAGAAAAAGTTTCGAATTTCCCAAGATCATCACACGATGGAGTTTATCGTGCCATTGACATGTTCTTAAAGGTAAAACTCTGTTCTCAAAAATGAAAAATCTCTGTTTTTTTTTTTTTGTCAAAATTGAAACTTTAATTTTCTTTTGTGATTATAACAGCAACATCCGGATGTAACAAAGAGCGAGAAGAAATCGATATGTCGGTTAATGGATTGCCGGAAATTATCACCGGAGGCTTGTGCTCACGCCGTGCAAAACGAGAGGTTACCTTTACGAGTCGTTGTACAGATCCTCTTCTTTGAGCAGGTTCGTGCCACGTGTCCAACAGCGAAACCTTCTCTTCCAACGAGTGGGTCTCACGGGAGCTCGAGGACGACGACGGAGGAAGAGTGTGACTCGGTCACGGCCACGGAGGAGACGACGAACAAGAGGAGTGGTTCGTCGGAGAAGACGAAAGCGAAAGGAGTTGTGATGTCTCGGATGTTCTCGAAGCTATGGTCTGGTAAAGACAGAGATGGTGTTGGAGATGTTAGTAGCTCAGATACGTCTGAAAGTCCTGGTTCAGTCACCACCGTTGATGATAAATCGACGCCGTCGACTCGCCGGAGAAGATCATCCTCTTGACTTTAGACCGTTTGTGTTTTCAAAAAATAAAAAAAATTAGGGATTCCTTTATGCTAACTGGATTAGATCAAATTTGGGTTTGTTTAGATAAATGTTTTGCTTTGGTGATTTCTGTAACCCAAAGTTTTTGATCATGTAACCCGTTACAATTTTTGAGAAATCTAGATTATAATGTTGCTTTTTTTGTTTTCTTCTTATCCCATTCATAATATATAAGAATTGATATTGAAATGGACAAAACCAAATATACATCTACACTTATGTAACCAAACACTAAAAATAAACATGAAAAAATTAAATTTTTAAGAAACTTTGTATATTGATGTCTTACTTGCTAAGAGCATGTCCAATCGAAACCAATTATAGTGTGAATCTTGTTCCAACCAAACGATAAAATCCACGGCAAATCTTGTTTTTTTAGTGTTTTGTGTACAACATTATTGGTGTGATACTATTTACAAAACACTAAAAATATATATATAATTTTAATTATATTTTTAATTTAGTATAATGATTAAATTGTGGTTTATTAACTAAAAAATAAATATGGTGTTCT